CAATCCAGACTTATCCTTCTTGTAGAAATATGCTGATTGTAGGCATATAAGTATTTGATATGTTATCTGTTTATTTAAATTTTTAGGTCCTTCCTATATTGTTCTTAACTTTATCACATAGTTCCTATATTGCTTATCATTCACATTTTTATGACTTATCCGTGCTAACTTCCCAAATCATAAATTTAATATTCAAATTAGCAAAAATTTTTAAAGCAAGAATAAAATGACAGGAGGTAAGTAATATGGGTGTGGAGTGTGGAGGAATATGTTCAATATACAAGACAAAGCAACAGATGTATATAAATAAACTTAGCTCTTGGCTTCCTGACAAGCAAAACAAATGAGACTTTAAAAAATTAGTGGTTTACACTATTCTTGTATATTAAAAGGAAATATATCAGTTCATGTGAGAAACTGTCTCCTATTGTTTTGTTTTGTTTTGTTTTGTTTTTGTGAGGAAGATCAGCCCTGAGCTAACATCCATGCCAATCCTCCTCTTTTTGCTGAGAAAGACCAGCCCTGAGCTAACATGTATTGCCTTTTTTTTTCCCCTTTTTCTCCCCAAAGCCCCAGTAGATAGTTGTATGTCATAGCTGCACATCCTTCTAGTTGCTGTATGTCAGACGCCGCCTCAGCATGGCCGGACAAGCGGTGCGTCGGTGTGCGCCCAGGATCCGAACCCGGGCTGCCAGTAGCAGAGCGCGTGCACTTAACCGCTAAGCCACAGGGCTGGCCCCCTCTCCTATTGTTGAGAGGGTTTTTTTCCTAATATAAGTCTTTTTATAAGAACAATTATTTTTTTTTTTTTAATTTATTTATTTTTCCCCTAAAGCCCCAAGCGATAGTTGTAAGTCATAGTTGCACATTCTTCTAGTTGTTGTATGTGGGACGCGGCCTCAGCATGGCCGGAGAAGCAGTGCGTCTGTGTGCGCCCGGGATCCGAACCCGGGCAGCCTGCATCGCAGCGCACGCACTTAACCGCTAAGCCACGGGGCCGGCCCAAGAACAATTATTAAATGTTATCTTTCACAGCAGTTATAAAATGCATAGATAGTCTTCATATGGACATCTAAGTTCCCAGTCCCTATTTATACCCCAGAAAGAGATTGCCCTATCCCCATGCCAACCTAGGAAGGCAAAACAGTCAAATGTCTGAGCCAGTCTGACTCCATCATGAAAGTTGGTGGCACGTTGGTTACTGGCATATCTTGAATGCCTCTGGAAAAAAACAAAAAAACACACTGATTTTTAGTCCCATTGTTGCCGTGGTCTTCCCTATTTGACCCTGGCCAAATTTTATAATGTTTTAGTTTTCTATTTTCCTCATTGTGACAGGCACTTTGTGTGTTCACCAAACCCCATTTTCTTTTCTTCCTGGGCACACAGCTGGATGTATTTCCCAGCCTCACTTAGAGTTCAGTGGGGCCACATAACCGATTTTTGATTAGTGGAATTGGGTCAGCAGTGGTGTTTGCCATTTCCAGTCCTTAATTCTAAAAACACTCACGCTACTTAATGCTTACTCTCTCCGTCCGCCTCTGTCTCTCTCTCTTCTCCTGTGAGCTGGTGAAGACACAGAATTCAGTAGAGGACTCCAAGGCCGTAGGAGATGGTGGAGTCACAAGATGAAAGGAATTTAGGTCCCTGAAGAAGTGCATGGAGCAATGACATTCCCACCCAACTTATGTTAGACTGCAGTGTGAGCAAGAAATAGCCCCGTTTTGGGGTTTAGCCACTCAAATTTAGGGTTTTTTTTAATTTTTTGTGTGAGGAAAAGATCAGCCCTGAGCTAACATCCATGCCAGTCTTCCTCTTTTTGCTGAGGAAGACTGGCCCTGGGCTAACGTCTGTACATATCTCCCTCCACTTTATATGTGACGCCGCCACAGCATGGCCTGAGAAGCAGTGCATCGGTGTGCGACCGGGAGCCGAACCTAGGCCACCAGCAGCAGAGTGTGCGCACTTAACCGCTACTCCACCCCCGGGGTGTTGTTAGTTACAATAAATCATCCTATAAATTCTGACCAATAAATCATCTATTAAATCTTAAGATGTTCTGATTCAGAAACAAATAGAAATAGATGCTACTTTGTCCTTTGCTTCCCTTTAGCATCTTCTTAGAAATTGGCTTCATGTAATTATTTGTCCTGAAAACACAGCAAAAGCCCCTATAGGTAAAACCCAAGATGGCCTCCAATGATTCTCATCTCCTGGGATTCAAGTCCTTGTGTAGTCCCCTCCTAGACTGAATCATGGCTGCCTGTTGTGGCCAACGGAATTCTGCAGAAGAAATGGTGTGTGATTCCAAGACTAAGTCATTAAAGACATGGCAATTTCCACCTTGGTCTCTCTTAGACCACTTGCTCTGGAGGAAGCCAGCTGCCATGTCATGAGGACAGTTAAGCAGCCCTGGGGAGAGGCCTACGTGGTGAGAAACTGAGACCCCCCACCAACCACTAGCACCCACTTGCCAGCCATGTGAGTGTGCGACCTGGGAAGCACATTCTCTAGCCTGAGTCAAGCCTTGAGCTGACTGCAACCCTGGCTGACAGCTTGACTGCCACCTCCTGGGAGACCCTGAGCCACAAACACACTGGCAAATTGCCCCTGAATCCTGACCCAGAGAAACTGTGGCGTCGTAAATATTTATCGTTGTTTTAAGCCATGAAGTATTGAGGTAATTTGTGATACAACAGTAGATAACTCAATCTGTGATACTGCTGTTTGTGAAAATTTCTAGATTCTTTTTTTTTAATCTCTTTTCCCCCCAGCTTTATTGAGACATAATTGACACATAAAACTGTGTAAGTTGAAGGTGTATAATGTAATGATTTGATATATGTATGCATTGTAAAATGATTACCACAATAAAGTGAGTTAACACATTCATCACCTCACATAGTTACAAATTTTGGGGTGTGTGGTAAGAATGTTTAAGATCTACTCTCTTAGCAAATGCCAAATATACAATACAGTATTAACTATAATCACTATGCTGTCCATCACATCCCCAGAGCATATTCATATTAAAACTGAAAGTTTGTACCCTCTGACCACCTTCACCCCTGCCCCTGATGACGACTAATCTGCTCTCTGTTTCTATGAGTTAGTTTTTTTTAGATTCCACATATAAGTGAGATCATACAGTATTTGTTTTTCTCTGTCTGACTTATTTCACTTAGGATGATGCCCTCAGGATTCATCCATGTTGTTGCAAATGGCATGATTTTCTTCTTTTTTATAGCTATGTAATATTCCATTGTGTGTGTGTGTATATACGTGTGTGTGTATATATATATATTACATCTTCTTTAGCCATTCATGTGTTGATGGACACTTGGGTTGTTTTCATGTCTTGGCTATTGTAAATAATGCTGCAATGAACATGGGGGTGCAGACATCTCTTCAAGATAGTGATTTCATTTCCTTCAGATATATACCCAGGAGTAAGATTGCTGAATCATATGGTAGTTCTATTTTTAATTTTTTGAAGGATCTCCATACTATTTTCCATAGTGGCTGTACCAATTTACATTTCCACCAACAGTGTACAGGGTTCCCTTTTCTCCACATCCTCACCAACACTTATCTCTTATCTTTTTAACGATAGAAATTTCAACAGATGTGAGGTGATATCTCACTGTAGTTTTGATTTCCCTGATGATTAGTGATGTTGAGCAACTTTTCATGTAGCTGTTGGCCATTTAAATATCTTCTTTGGAAAAATGTCTATTCAGGTCATTTGCCCATTTTCAAATTGGATTATTTGTTTTTTGCTATTGAGTTGTATGAGTTCATTATATATTTTGGATATTCGCTCCTTATCAGATACGTAGTTTGCAAATATTTTCTCCCATTTCGTAGGTTGCCTTTTCATTTTTTTGATTGTTTCTTTTGCTGTGCAGAAACTTTTTAACTTGATGTAGTCCCACTTCTTTGTTTTTGCTTTTGTGGCTTGTGCTTTTGGTGTCATATTCATAAAATCATTGCCAAGACTAATGTCAAGGAGGTTTTTCCCTATGTTTTCTTCTATGAGTTTTATGTTCTCAGGTTTTACATTCAAGTCTTTGGGCGGCCCCGTGGCTTAGCGGTTAAGTGCGCACGCTCTGATATTGGCGGCCCGGGCCCGGATCCCAGCGCGCACCGACGCACCACTTTTCTGGCCATGCTGAGGCCGGGTCCCACGTACAGCAACTAGAAGGATGTGCAGCTATAACGTACAACTATCTACTGGGGCTTTGGGGGGAAAAATAAATAAATAAAATTTAAAAATTAAGTCTTTAATTGATTTTGAATTAATTTCTGTGAGTGGTATAAGGTAGGGGTCCTTTTTCATTCTTTTGCATGTGAATATCAGTTTTCCCAGCACCATTTATTGAAGACAGTGTTTTCCCCCCATTGAGTATTCTTGGCTTCCTTGCCAAATATTAGTTGACCATATATGCATGAGTTTATTTCTGGGCTCTCAGTTCTAGTCCATTGGTTTATGTGTCTATTTTTATGCCAGTACTATACAGGTTTGATTACTATAGCTTTGTAATATAGTTTGAAATCAGGAAGTGTGATGCCTTCAGCTTTGTTCTTCTTTCTCAGGATTGCTTTTGCTTTTCTGGATCTTTTGTGGTTCCATACAAAATTTAGGATTGTTTTTCATATTTCTGTAAAAAATGCCATTGGGAACTTGATAGGGATTACATTGAATCTATAGATGGTTTGGGAAGTGTGAACATTTTAATGATATTAATTCTTCCAACCTATGAACACAGGATATCTTTCCATTTATTTGTGTCTTCAATTTCTTTCATCAATGGCTTATCGTTTTCAGTGTACAGATCTTTCACTTCCTTCGTTAAATTTATGCCTAAGTATTTTATTGTTTTTGATGTTTATTGTAAATGAGACTGTTTTCTTTATTTCTTTTTCAGGTAATTTGTTGTTAGTGTATAGAAACGCAAACTGAAAATTTTTGGATTCTAATGGTGCTCATTCTTTAGTGGGTCATCATTGCCTGTTCTTGAAATAGTATGTACAAGGAATCATTCTATTCATCTCCAAGTCACAGGAAGTTGTACCAGCTCTGTAGCTAAAAGGATATGGGGCGGAATCATTTGGTAATGGCAATTTTGAGGAGTGAGTCTGAAAAATGTAAGCTGATTCTGACATCTTCTTGAAATTGTTAAACAGGGAGGGAGGCTCTGGAATAAAAAAGAAGTTAGGATAATATTTTTCTTAACACCATTATTATCACAAATATTTTAAAACGTCAGTTGGAAGACCATTAAACTACTTTCAAGAGAGTACAAATGGGACCACCTACATTCCTTCAATCGGATGACACATACCAATATGGGAAGGGAGAATATCTGCAATCTGCACAGCCAGCATGTGTTGTAATAACAACAATAACAGTAATAATAAAATTTAGTTAATATGGAGTCCACATATATCTTAGACCAGTTTATCCATTCCCTTCTCCCATTTATTTCCCACAAAGATATTTTCTTATTCTCACATTTTCTTTTTCTTTTTCTTTTTTTTTTGTGAGGAAGACTAGCCCTGAGCTAACATCCAATGCTAATCCTCCCCTTTTTTCTTGAGGAAGAGTGGCCCTTAGCTAACATCCGTGCCCATCTTCTCTACTTTATATGGGATGCCACCATGGCATGGCTTACCAAGCGGTGCGTCAGTGCGCGCCCGGGATCCGAACCTGCGACTCCCCCACCCCCCCACCCCAGGCCGCTGAAGCGGAGCGTGCGCACTTAACTGCTTGCACCACAGGGCCGGCCCCTCTCACATTTTCTTAAGATAGGTCAAGAAGTTAATAAACTACATCTCAATATACGTGACAATGAGATGGTGAGGAGAGTACGTGTCAAAATTATCAGGAAAGAAGTTTGAAGAAAGATGCTTCTTTTTGCATCAGGGTCTTTGTCCCTTAAAGTAACTTACTAGAATTATGCAGTGGAGTTCCAGTGCATACAGCTTCGTCCACAGAAGTGGGTATCTTGGCCAGTGACCTTCTTCCCCAGGTGGGTAGTTGACAAAATTCCTCCAACAGTGCTCATACTCTAAGGAAACACAAATCTTGGTTCATTCAACAAATACAACAGAGGGGGCCGGCCCAGTGGCACAGCGGTTAAGCTCGTGCTCTCCACTTCAGCAGCCCAGGTTTCACTGGTTTGGATCCTGGGCACGGACCTATGCACCACTCATCAAGCCATGCTGAGGAAGCGTCCCACATACAGCAACCAGAAGGATATACAACTGTGACATGCAACTGTCTACTGGGGCTTTGGGGAGAAAAAAGGAAAAAAGGAGGAAGATTGGCAACAGATGTTAGCTCAGAGCCAATCTTCCTCAAAAACAAAACAAAACAAAAAATACAACAGAAAGGTACTTAAAGAGATCCCAACTTAAAAATATACCACGTATAAAGCCCTCTGGTCTACTTGCCGCTGGACATGGGCTAGACTCCCCTAGAATCCCCAAAAAGAACAAAGCAGTTCATTGAAGATGGTTGAGAGGCCATAGTGGCCAGAATGGAGAAACGAGTCATATTTTTTTTTTTTAAGGTAGAACCTAGCATTTTATTTCAATCTTCATTAAACTGTTGGAATTGAGAACCACACATACTAATAAACCTCCAAAAATAGATCCTGACAGGTATTTTCTGCTTAGGGCAAGCAGTCATGGAATAAGCATGTAAATAAACTGGCTTCTCTGTGGCACCCCAGCCAAGTCAGCTTTCTCCATGGCCAGCCACACCAGTTCTGCCTCCCCTCTCCTTTTTTTTTTTTTTTTTGAGGAAGATTGGCCCTGAGCTAACAGATGTTGCCCATCTTCCTCTGTTTTCTTTCCTTTTTTTCTCCCCACGGCCCCAGTATGTAGTTGTGTATCCTTATTGTAGGTCCTTCTAGTTCTATGTGGGACGCCGCCTCAGCATGGCCTCACGAGCAGTGTGTAGGCCCATGCCCAGGATCCAAACTGGGGAACCCCGGGCCCAAAGCGGAGCACGTGAACTTAACTGCTACACCACCAGGCCGGCCCCTGCCCTCCCTTCTGTTAACACCAACCAGACCCCCTGTAAGTCTAAGCCAAGGTTTTTCTGTAGGACACCCTGGCCGACCTGGGAACGCCGGAAACATGTTGTTAAAGGAATCGTGGTGTTGACGGAAAAAAAGAAAAATCTTTTAAAAGCTGCCATCTGAGGTCATGGCTTCTCTGTACTTAATGCCATATCCCAGAATACAATAAATAAGCAATTAGAAAATGTTCAAGTATGAAGGGATTTCTTCCTCCCCACCAAAAGCACCGCTTTCTGAAGGAAGCTGGCTTCTCTGTAGCTATACCAGCTGTTCAGAAAGTTCATTGGACCTGGTTTTGAAAGTAAAAGTTAAAACCCTGGCACGAGTTATTGCACAGTGTGGAATACTCAGTCTTTCTTATAAGGAAAAAAAAAGTTATCTAGTACCAAAGTGTGCAACCTACAGACCCTCAGGTACCGCCCTGTGACTTCTCCGTATGACATCACAAGGGTGCCAAGTGCCTGCTTATCTAGAGCTAGGAGTTGGTGGTTTGGCTAGTGCTGAACCCATGCATAGAACTGGTTTACTAAATAAAAGCCTTGTCATGTACGTCCTCCAAACACAGATGAAAAGTAGAGAGATTTTGATGTGGTGCTGTTTAGGAGATGGCAATGAAGAGCATAAGCACCAGGGAGGAAAGGAGTCATGTTTGTGTGTGTGTGTGTGTGTGTATGTGAGAGGAAGACCAGCCCTGGGCTTACATCCATACCCATCTTCCTCTACTTTATATGGGACGCCGCCACAGGGTGCGTTGTCAGTCTGCATCCGGGATCCGAACCCACGAACACTGGGCCGGAGAAGCAGAGCACGCACACTTAACCGCCTTGCCACTGGGCAGGATTCAGGAGTTGTATTTTTGATACTTTCCTTGCTTTGACTTTCAGACCTCGTTCTTTCTGATATTACTTTGGACTTGCACTTCTGAGACTTCCAGTCTGGAGAATCAATCTTCCGGCCTAGAAACATACTCCCACAGTATCTCATAAACACTTAAGATTCTTTATTGATTGTTTTTACCTGAGAGTCTCATGATCTGGATAGTCACGCCACTGTTAATGAGATCCCTGAGCCCGTGACGGTTCTGTTGATCCATGTGGTGAAAAAGTCTTGCTACGTAAATAACTAGAGTCACAGCAGGGTGTTGACTCAAAAACTCTCTAACAGCCCGGGCGCATTCCCAGCAGGGACTCCAGGACAAGAACCAGGTGATGGAGCAGCTGACGGGGGGGCTAAAATGTCTTTCTGAAGTAAATTTTTCTATAAAATTGATTTCAACGTGCTTGGTGGTGTTTTTGCCTGAGTATCGCCAGGTCTTATGGCTCCTGCCCCACTTGACCTCATAGAGGAGACATGCCTCCTTACGGAGCTCTCCGGGGTTAAAGAAGGCTTCGAATTCCCAGGGTTCAATTCTTCTGCTGAAACATAAAAAGAACTCACATGTTGTCAGACAATCTTTAGAGGGAACTTAGAAAGGATTTCATGCTCCCCTCTTCTATCAGGCAGACCTACAACATGACATCTCAGGAAACATTTTTTTTCCGGTCTATTCAAAGTTATCTGAAGACATCCATTTGAATGATCAGTGTTTCTCACAAACATGAAGAGATTTTTCTCAACTCATGTTATTTAGTTCTACACTCTCTATGCCATTGCTTGGTAGCCTTGAATTCAAGAATAAATGTGTCCCTGTCTCTCTTTTAAAGGTTTCTAATTTTTCTATCTCACACTTAGAGGTGCCATGTTCCAATTGTTATTTCTCAATGGACTCTAACTAGATTTTCTCAGGTGTAGAAGCCTCAAATTGCCAACAAGATTCTCCTGCCAAGTCTGAGAAGAGAGTAATTTAGCCTCAGGATTCTTCCACATTAACTTCTTTTTTTTTTTTAATAATTTTACTTATTTTTTTTTTCCCCTAAAGCCCCAGTAGATAGTTGTATGTCATAGCTGCACATCCTTCTAGTTGCTGTTTGTGGGACACGGCCTCAGCATGGCCGGAGACGTGGTGCGTCGGTGCGCGCCCGGGATCCGAACCCCGGCCGCCAGCAGCGGAGCACGCACACTTAACCGCTAAGCCACAGGGCCGGCCCCCACGTTAACTTCTGTATACCAATTCCTCATAACAAAGAAATTCAAATTGCTCTCAATGGCATCTTTAAATTTAACACTCTCTGTGTATCAAAGCTGTGACTCAGGGAAACTCGGGATTGTGCTAATGACTCTTCTTGGCAATATGGTTGAGTCACAAGCTTAATACATCCTCATATTTCCCACTCATCCCTAAAGTACCACATTCATTTATTACATAGCTCAATCCTTCCACCCATCATGAGATAATATATTTGCTGACAAAAGTCTTCTTGTTATAATGATATGTATGGAAAATGGGCATATGGTATAAAACAGGAAGATGAAATTACAGTGACAGGTGAGTGCCCTGGACCTTTCACTAATGGCTATAAAAACGTGTGATTTAAAGAGAGAAGAGCAATAGTAAAACAATAATAGAACAAAGCTGGAAGATAATTTATTTAAACAGAAAACAAAAGACACAGGAGCAAAGATATAGAAAGCAACAATCACAGAGAATGAAGTTGGAAAAGGAAAAAAGATAGAATGGGAGCCTGGTGAAAGAGGAAAGGAACAATAAGGAAAGCTATAGTCCTCCAGCTCTTAAATACCTGTTTATTCTCGGTTGAATTAAATGCGAGCTATGATAGGAAAATTCTTACCTCAAGGTGGCATCTGCAGTTGAAGGACCTGTTGACCAAGAGATGATTATGTCAAGTAACACCCATATGCAAATCGAGCTGCTAAGAAAAAATTCTCTATTCTCTAAACCTGCAAACCATTTCAGAAAATGGAGTTAAAAGATTCTCTCCTGGATTAATCGAATCGGACCAGCTCATTGCATCAAGAAAAGCAAGATTTTAAGGGCTCTGCTGAAATCTATTTGCCCAGTTCTAAACCAGGGAATCCTCTTTAAGGCTCCAACAAGAATGATTAACTACATTGGGAAAGTCACTCCGCAGAGGCTCCTAGGTGTAATTTCTATGTGCCCCCATGGCATCCTGCATTTCCTTCATCATAGCAAGTATCATGCCATATTATGATGGCCTATTTCCATGCCTATAATAGCACTGAATTATGAATTATGTGGATATGGATTATGTATATCTTGCTCCAAACCCCATTACACTACTTGAAAGATGTTGGTTAGCAATACATATTTATTGAATAAATGATTGAATACACTTTACTACTAACCGCTGCAGAATAACAATACTATGCAGGAAAACTGGATCTCTCATACATTGCTGCTGGGAATGTAAATTGGTACAGCCACCCTGGGAAACAGTTTGGCAGTTTCTTAGGAAAAAAAAACAAACTAAAAATTCAACTACCATACAATCCAGCAGCTGCACTCCTGGCCATTTATCTCAGAGACAGGAAAACTTAGGTTCACACAAAAGCCTTTACACAAATGTTCATATCAGCTTTATTTGTAATATCTAAAAACTGGAATCATCCCAGATGTCCTTCAATAGGTGAATGGTTAAACAATCTGTGGTTCATCTATACCGTGGAATACCACTCAGCAATCAAAAGGAGCAAACTATTGATACATGCACCAACTTGGAGGAATCTCCAGAGAATTATGCTGAGTGGAAAAAAAAGCCAATCTCAAGAGTTTGTGTACTGTATGATTCCATTTATAATTTTATTTATTTATTTATTTTTCCACCAAAGCCCCAGTAGATAGCTGTATGTCATAGCTGCACATCCTTCTAGTTGCTGTGTGTGGGATGCGGCCTCAGTATGGCCAGAGAAGCAGTGCGTCGGTGCGCGCCGGGGATCCGAACCTGGGCCGCCAGCAGCGGAGCGTGCGCACTTAACCACTAAGCCACAGGGCCGGCCCTGTATGATTCCATTTAAATAACATTTTGCAATGACAAAATTTTAGAAATGAGGATAGATCAGTAGTTGTCAAGGGTTAGGGACGGGGTGGGGCAGGAGGGAGTCCAGTTTGGTTATAAAAGAGCAATAAAAGATATCTGTAATGTTGGAACTGTTCAGATCTGACTGTGGTGGTAGATATACAAAGCTATACGGGTGACAAAATTGCATAAAACTAAATACACTACACACACACATACACAAATGAGTACCAGTGAAACTGGGGGAATCTGAATAAAATTGGTGGATTGTGTCAGTGTCAATAACCTGGTTGTGATATTAGTCTATAGTTTTACAAAATGTAACCACTGAGGGGAACTCAGCAAAGTGTATAAGGAATCTCTCTATACTATTTCTTAAAGCTATGTGTTTTAAAGTATGATTACCTCAATTAAAATTACAATATAATGAAAAAGTATTTGGTAGTGTGGAGAGAAGATGGGACACCATTGGCTTAATATATATATGCCTTTTAAACCACAAATCAAGAGGGAGGAGAAAAGATATCTGCATAAGTGATAAGAGTAAAAAAAAAACATTTGCAAAGAACATATGGAAAGAGGTTAATGATCCAGCAAAAGAGAACCAGGCTTAAGTGGAGCCCAGTGGTTACTAAAGGCATTGACAGCAAAACACAGCTGCATAGAGGATCTCAAGGGTGGAAAAATCCTCCCATTGAACTACGTTAACTTGGAAGTAGGAAGAGAAAGAAGCAACAATCACTACCCTTAGGTAAAGAACTGAACAGTAGGGTTGCAGCAGAATTGGGAGCTGAGAAGTAAAAGTTGTTGTGGGTATGACTGTCACCTGAGTTCCCAAGATTTCAGGGAATGGGGATAATTCTGATCCCTCCTTCAGTCAAAAGACTCCCTGGAAAAGCCAAGAGCACTGGTTGGTCCCTGTGCCCCTCAATTTGCTGTCACATGGGGCATAACACCAAGAACAGCCAAAAACAGGTACCAGGAACCAGCATATAAGTCACCCCTGGAATTTGGCAAACTATATTCTATATGGGGCAGAAGGGGAGGTTCACTTTTTTATTTCCGACAATTCTTAACTGAGCCTACTAAATGTTGGCACTCTTCTAAGTACAGGAACAGGGAAAAAACAATCTTTATCTTCATGTTCATGGAGCTTGTATTCTAAAGGGGGAGATAGAAAATAAGAAAACCAATACATGTGTAAAGTCAGCAGTGACAAGTGCTATGGAAAGTACTGTAAGGGATAAAAGGCGATGACGGGACGAGGCTTCCTTGGAGGGGTTGGTCAAGTAAGGCCTCTTTGAAGAGGATATTTAAGCAGAGGCCTGAATGTAAAGTGAAGCAAGACATGTGACCATCAAGGGAGAGCATTCTGAGAAGAGAGAACAGCAAGTGCAAAGGACTTAAAGTGCAAAGATCGTGACGTGTTCAAAGAGCAAGGAGTAGGCTACTAGGTGGGAGAGATCAAGACATACAACGGTAGGAGATGAGCCTAATCATACAGGGCCTTCTAAGCTGTGGATTTAATTCTACGGGTAATGGGAAGCCATTAGAGAGTGCAAGGATGATTTAAATAAAAGTACTGGATTTTAGACTCAGAGCCTTGAGGATGAAATGAGCACTGACCTGTGCTGAATACAGAATATTTATGGCGCAGAATTCCAAAACTTGGAGAGCAGAAATGCAGCTCATTTGTTTTATTTTGGTGAACATAGGCATTTATCTTGGCAACAAGAACTTACGTTAAGGATTTACCTCTTGTTATTTGGAAGCTAAAGTTTGTTTGGGGAGGCAGGAGAAAAGGATCATAAATCAGAAGCCTCGATTACCATCATCAGTCTCTATTTTCCGAGAAAGCAGTGATCCATGAGATTTGAGACACACAGCAGAAGGTTCCCCTACATGATAACCCTTCTCAGAGAGTCAGAGAGAGATACAAGAGTCCCTCCTACCTCCGAGGGTAAAGTGGCTGTGGGGAGATGGAGACAGGAGATTCAGTCCACCCTGCCAGCCAAACCTTAACTCTGAGGTGCTATTTTTTAACTAAAAAGAGTCACCAGATCTGGGAGACACTCCTCCAAAACAGGAGGCACTCTGCCCAAGGCTTTGTGTGTGTGTCCACATCTGTGTTGAAGGGGTCCAGAATGTGCCACTGGGCATAAAACTTATTTTGAGCTGACTACATTTGAGAATAGACTTTTTCCCCCCGAAATCCCTTACTTTCCTAAAAGCAGAGCCTCACAAAATAAATCAGTTGTTATAGGGCCGGCCCTGTGGCTTAGCGGTTAAGTGGGTGCGCTCCGCTGCTGGTGGCCCGGGTTCGGATCCCGGGCGTGCACCGACGCACCGCTTGTCCAGCCGTGCTGAGGCCGCGTCCCACATACAGCAACTAGAAGGATGTGCAACTGTGACATACAACTATCTACTGGGGCTTTGGGGAGAAAAGGGGAGAAAAAAAAAAGACAATATCTTTATTAAATAAATAAATAAATAAATAAATAAATAAATAAATAAATAAATAAGTTGTTATAAATCCCATCCCCTAGAGCAACCAGGAAAGATCGACTCTTACTACAGGCAACACCTACGCAAACAGACACTGTCACAAAACTGTTACTGTGTCTCCCATCTGTTCTCCTAAGAGCCCATCTGTCTTTCCTCAAAGTCATTTGTTTTTCCCTAAGTGCCCTTTCTCTTCTCCCCTCCCCTATTAAGAAATCATTTGTGGGGCCGGCCCATGGTGTAGTGGTTAAGTGCGCCCGCTCCGCTGTTGGCGGCCGGGGGTTCAGATCCCGGGCGAAGCACCGACGCTGGCTTGTCAGGCCATGCTGTGGCGGCGTCCCACATAAAGTGGAGGAAGATGGGCACAGATGTTAGCTCAGGGCCAGTCTTCCTCAGCACAAAGAGGATTGGCAGATGTCAGCTCAGGGCTGATCTTCCTCACAAAAAAAAAAAAAAAGAAATCATTTGTTTTCCCATAAGTGTTCTTCTCCTTTCATTTGCTTTCCCATAAGTGTTCTTCTCCTACTAAGATGGTATGTAAGCCCCAAATTCTAATCACCTTCTTGAGTCAGTTTTTGCAAACTCCTGTATGTAATTTTGTCTTTTCTCTTGCTAATCTGTCTTTTATCAATTTAATACACAGGACCCCAAAAGCAGGATCTAACAGAGTAGAAGAAAAGTTTTTCCTCCTCAGCAGCGTGTGTGTGTGTGTGTGTGTGTGTGTGTGAGATCTGTGCTTGTGTACTAGGTGGTAGACAGATGACAGGGAGTGGAGCTGTGCGTGGCACAGTTTCCTGTAGAAGGAAAATGGTTCTAGCTGGGGGGAGGGACTAAAAACAGAAATTAGCCAGATTTCTAGGAAAGAGGACACAGTCAGGAAATACAATCCTAAGTGTGACCTGAAAAATAAACCTCTCACCCTTAAAAGAAGGAACGGGGTAGCGAGGCCGGCCCCTTGGTGTAGCGGTTAAGTGCTCACGCTCCGCTGCTGGTGGCCTGGGTTCGCCCCAGGTGTGCACTGATGCACCACTTGTCAGGCCATGCTGTGGTGGCGTCCCATATAAAGTGGAAGAAGATGGGCACGGATGTTAGCCCAGGGCCAGTCTTCCTCACAAAAAAAAAAGGAAGGAACAGGGACCTTGAGTACTGAGATGGAGGAGGAAGGGGATAGCTGACACCTTGGTATGGGCACTGCTCAGACCATAATCCAGATTGGGGCCCTTGAACCAGCTGATCCACTCAAGGGGCCTTACAGAAGCAGAGGCATGCCTATAGGAGAAGGTCAAGTTGATGACGGGAGGACAGTTCCTCTGCAGGAGATGAAGCCGCAGTGAGAACTTCAGAAAGAGTGAGATATATTCTCAGTATCTACCCTTGGGATTCAAGGCCAGGATACAAGCCATAGGAGTTGAGATGGTTTAAAGGATAAAACACACCTCCCTCAGAGAAAAGTCTGGGGAAATTACCCAGATACTTCAACTAAATAATGTCTTTAGTCTTTCCACCAACATGCCACCCTCAAGATATATATAT